TTTTTTTTTTTTTTTTGGATTTATTGTAGAATGAGGTCTCGCTGCCCAGGTGGGTCTCGAACCCTCGGGCTCAGGCAATCCACTCACCTCAGCCTCCCAAAGGCGCGGGATTACAGGCTGAGCCATCGAGCCCGGCTATTTTTTTTTTTTTTTTGAGTTGGAGTCCCCCCCCGCATCATGTGGTCCAGCTGTCAATCAAGATGATAGTCATGTGACTCATGCTGGCCAATCGCAGCTCTATCTCCTGAGGGAGTGATGCTGAGATGAATTCATTCATTCTGAGCTGGGTTGATTCACTTCTGCTTTTTAGATTCTTGGTACTGCCCTGCTTTCTATCCTTTATGAGGCTTGGCTGTTTTTAGGTATTTTTATAAATTATCCAGGATTTTTCTGGTTCCTCAGCCCTTTCCTATTACTGGAAAGAGTCAGGCTTCCCTTTGTCTACCATTTCTCTCAGAAAGGGGCTTCATATGATAAGCCTGGGTAGTACAGAAAGCCAGGCACCAGGATGTCCAAGGGACCTATCTGTGGGGTAGGAATCAGAGGATAGAAATGTCTTGATTTGACGAAGTGTGCCAGCAAGGGTCTTCTCTCTCAGGCTGGGCAGTGAGTGTCTTCTGGAAGAAGGAACATCACTATTGAGTTTGCATTGAACCCTTCCTAAATGTCCATGGGACGCAGAATGTGAGGGCTCATCCTTAAGGCTTCAGACAGGTCTCCTGAAAACAGAGTTCATTTATTAATCACATGAATGAGCTCAGATGCTGAATACCCATAGTGAGATTTCATATTCATGTAGTTTGGACAGTTCAAAGCCCTGGACCTGGAGAAATGTGTCCCTTATTGTGGTTTGGTCCAGTCTTCTGATTTAAAACAAAAAAGCAACAATCTTTAGGCCATGAGTGAGTTTCTTCAACGGAGAAATTTTCCCACAAGTCCTTGTTTCTCCCCTCGGGCAGCGGTGCTGGTGGCAGCAAGGGTCCAGTGTCAAGGCCAGGAATCTGGAGGTGCTTGGAGAAAGTAGGCAGGAGGGTCCAAGGGCCTGGGGGTGAGAAGCCAACTGGATATTGGTGTTCCCCTTCTGTCTAAGGGGCTCTCACCTGGTCACTCAGTGCAGGCATCCCTGATGCCCAAAAAAAGGGTTTCAGAATCTTCAGAGGAAAGGACTTGGAACTGGAAATTCAAGCGCAAGGAGGCTGGAGCAGAGTCTTGGAGGAGACAGGAAGAGTGAGATGCTTGATTATGCCTCCAGTTGATTCTGGAGAGCTGCACAGTCCTGGATGGAGCCACCAGCCACAGGTGGCTGCAAAGCAACTGAAATGTGGGAGCATGAGTTGAGATATGTTATAAGGTTTCAAAGACCTCATATGCTGGGTATGGTGGCTCACGTCTGTAATCCCAGCACTTTGGGAGACTGAGGCAGGAGGACTGCTTGAGCCCAGAAGTTTATTTTTATTTTTATAGAGATGAGTCTTGTCAAGTTTCCCAGGCTGATCTCGAACCTGTGGACTCAGGCAGTCTTCTCACCTCAGCCTCCCACAGTGCTGGTATTATAGGCATGAGCCACCACACCCAGCCTGAGCCCAGAAGTTTGAGACTAGCCTAGCAACATAGTAAGACCTCGTTTCTACAAAAAAATCAAATTTCATCTTTTTTGTCTTCTACAAGAACAATCCAGGAACCAAGTGCCTTTCCTATGAGTACAGTCCCAAGGCCTTGCTGGAACTGAAACCCGTGTAGTGCAGGGGTGGGTGTGTCTCAGACTACCTTGACCAATCCACATATCTTTGATGGTCTTTTATTTCTTTATTTTTGAGACGGAGTCTCACTCTTTGCCCAGACTGGAGTGCAGTGGCATGCTCACGGCCACTGCAGCCTCGACCTGCTGGGCTCAGGCAATCTTTCTACCTCAGCCTTCCAAGTAGCTGGAATTCCAGGCACACACCACCGTGCCCAGCTAATTTTTTGATTTATTGTAAAGATAGGGTCTTGCCATATTGCTCAGGTTGGTCTTGAACCTGTGGGCCAGGCAATTCTCTCACCTCCGCCTCCCAAAGTGCTGGGATTACAGATGTGAGCCACCGCGCCCAGCACTTTGACAGTCTTGACTCTGTCCAAGTGTGGAGAGTGTCTCTGAAATATTTTAGCTAAACCACACCCATGTATCCACCTTTATGAATGAGAGTCCATTGCTAATATTCATCATGCTTATTAACAAATCAGTAAAGATCTACTTCCCAAGACTTCAGGGAAGTGTGTGCATGGCAGAAATGTCTTGGGAGAGTGGGGTCCCCGATGAACCTAGGCAATGCTCCCCTTTGTATCATACCAAACACGCTAAGTCAATTCCAGATATCACAGCAAATTAAGAGCATTAAGAGCATTAGCAGATCTTGTTCTGGTTTATCCAAATAAGATCAGTGAGATGGAAGTCAGTGAACTGTCCGAAAGTTTGGTGAGAAAATTCAATGGTTTTGATCCATGTCATTTCCAACTTTAAAGAAACAAATGCTGTCACAAAAGCAGTCATTCTAAAAAATGCATTTCGGTGTTCAAGGTACATCTTTTTAAGGTAAATGTTAACAATCCTTGGGAGAAGAAAACTGTTAGAATATAGATTTCAGTATTAAGGGAAAACGGTTTTTCTGTTTTAGTCTTAGAAACTCAACTCACTGATGATGAACTATAGAATGAATATAGATGTTGCTTAAATGTTAGGGCTATTTGCTATGTAAATATACCCTAACTCCCTATCTGTCTAGATCAAGGTTTCTCAGTCATGGCCTTGTTCACATTTTAGGTTAGAGAATTCTTTTTTTTTTTTGGGAGGGGGTGTAGCTGTCCTCTGTAATGTAGGATATTTATACCTCCTGGCCTCTACCTACTTGGTATCATTGGGAACACCCTGCCACACAAGCAGTGACAAAAATGTCTCCAGGCTGGGTGTAGTGGCTCATGTCTGTAATCCCGGTACTTTGGGAGGTGGAGGTGAGAGGAAGATTGCCTGAGCTCAGGAGTTCAAGACCAGCCTGGGCCACTTGGCGAGAACTTATTTCTACAATAAGTCAGATAATTAACTGGGCATGGTGGCACACGCCTGTGGTTCCATCTACTTGGAAGGCTGAGGTGAAAGGATCTTCTGAGCCCAGCAGGTCAAGGCTGCAGTGAGCTGTGATTGTGCCACTGCACTGTAGCCTGCGAGACAGAGTGAGACCCCGACTCAAAAAAAAAGGAAAGAAAGAAAAGAAAAGAATCTCTAGATGTAGATGTTGCCTAATATCCCACTGGGGACAGAGTCACCTCCCTCCTTCCTCTCCTACTCTCAAACTCTTCCCTTCCTCCCCCCTCCCACACTGAGAACTACTGTTCTAGGCCAGGTCCTAGAACAAGGCAATGGGCTAGCCCAATGCCTTGGTAGGATGCAGAATCTCAGACCCCCTCCTAGATTTACTGAACCAGAATCTGCAATTTTTCTTTTTAAGTAGGAGTCTCACTCTATCTCCCAGGCTGGAGTGCAGTGGCATACTCACGGCCACTGCAGCCTCGACCTTATAGGCTCAGGCGATCCTTCTGCCTCAACCTTCCAAGTAGCTGGAACTACAGGTGCACACCATTGCACCCTACTAATAGTTTTGAATCTTTGTAGGGATGCGGTCTCACCAAGTTGCTCAGGCTGGTCTCAAACCCTTGGGCTCAGGCAATCCTCTCGCCTCTGCCTCCCGAAGTGCTGGGATTATAGGCATGAGCCACTGTGGGCCCAGCCAGAACCTGCATTTTAATGAGCCCCCAGGTGGTCTGTGTGCTTCTGCGCCTGGCTGAGTCCACACCTGTGCTCTGGGGTGCGTGCGGTGGGACACATGACTCTTTCTCGTTGCAGGAGGCTGACGAAGCCTTGCTGCATAACTTGCGCCTTCAGCTCGAGGCCCAGTTTCTTCAGGATGATATCAGCGCGGCAAAGGACAGGCACAAAAAGGTAACTGGCCCCTTGAAGGCTCTGCGCAGAAAACCCAGAGCACTAGGACTGGGAGCAGAGACGGCCAGAGGGGCCTGCCTGGGTGGGTACTTTCCCTTGAACCAGATGGAGTGGGCAGGTCACTGGACTGCACTTGGTGAGCCGGAAGAGTATTGGGGAAGGCAGGAGGGGTGTGTTGTGTGGGGTGTGTGTGTGCTGGGAACTGGTGTCTATACTGTACACTGCAGTTTATAAAGCAATGTTATATAGATCTGTTGTGATGAAGCCACAGTCCGTCAACTGTTTCAGCTCAGAAAATGCAAAAAAGGTGTTGTTTTCAGCTCTGCCTGCGAGCCCATTAATTGAAGGCACACAATTATTCAGGGGCTCCCTCTCCTAAGTGCTCTGACCTCCCGCAAGCCCCCCAGCTTCTCACAGACCTGACTTTGGTGATCCTTGTGTACGGGAAAGATGAAATCCTGTAGCTGGGTAACCTGGAGTGAGGGAGATCTCTGGGCTGAGTTGCATTTTTCATCTTTTCTTCTTACTTTCTGAGTCAGAGTCTCACCCTGTCGCCCAGGCTGGAGTGCAGTGATATGCTCACGGCCACCACAGCCTCGACTGTGGGCAATCCTTCCGTCTCAGCCTCCCAGGTAGCTGGAACTACAGGTGTGCACCACCATGCCTGACTAATTTTTTGATTTATTTTTGAGACGAGGTCTCACCCAGTTGTCCAGGCTGGTCTCCAACCCCTGGACTCGGGCAATCCTCTCGCCTCTGCCTCCCAAAGTGCTGGGGTTACAGGTACTGGCTGCCTCTTCATCTTTAAAATGCGAATGCAGACTCTCCTTGCCAGTGCAGCTGTGTGAGTGAGCTAGTGTGGCAGACCCTGGCCCTGCCTCTGCTTTTTTCCCTCCCCAGTGGACTCTGTCTATCCCCCACTTATTGCCAGTATCTGCAACTTTGCCTGAGTACTTTCTCCAAGCAGCTAAGGATGTTCTGTCTGATAGGGAAGCATTGGGGAACAACTGCCCCCTGGAACACCCTGGGGTGAGGGGAGAGGGGAGGACACAACTGGGGTTGGTGTATATTAACACCCAGACTCCCTCTTGGTGTGTGGGCTGACTCTGAGGCTCCTGTTCTTTTCTGGCTCCCAGAGATCCCTACCAGAGTGGAGCTCCTGGTGTCCAACGTGGTGCCCTATTTTTTTTTTAGTTGAAGTCTCACTTTGTCACCCAGACTGGAGGGCAGTGGCACCTCCACAGTCACTGCAGCCTCAATCTGCTGGGCTCAGGTGATCCTTCCTCCTCAGCCTTCCAAGTAACTGTAACCACAGGTGTGCGCTACCACACATGGCTAATTTTTTGATTTACTGTAGAGATGAAGTCTCGCCAAGTTGCCCAGGTTGGTCTTGAACCTGTGGGCTCAGGCAGTGTTCTCACCTCCACCTCTCAAAGTGCTGGGATTACAGGTGGGAGCCACCTCACCCTGCTTGGTGGTGCCCTATTGATAACGCACCGCGCTTGGGCTGCCCTCCCTTCCGGCCTCCCCTTCCTCTCTGCTAGTTGTGTTTCCTGGCATCATCGCCCAGATTTGCACTCAGTTATTTGCACTCAGGTACTTCTCCCAGCATCTGCTTCTGCGGAAACCAAACTAAGATGTTGTGGCCAAGTGGACACAACCGGGGCTCGGCAAGTGCTTATGAATCCTTGATGTTCTTCTTGCCTCAGTTGCACCTGCATCAGTGCAACAGGCCTGTGTCCTCCTGCCAAGGTCCCTCCATCTTCCCATCAGGCCCAGCCCTTTCTTCCCCTCCACCTACCTTCTTGCTTCTGCTCTGCCTTATGGAACCCTGGCAGCAGTTTTGAAGCAGCTCAGAGCATTCTTCAGGGGCATTTAGAATGATGATGATGATGATGACAGCTCACTCTCTGAAATGTCCCTGTGTTGTCGCATTGGATCCCAATGAGAGCTCGATGAGAGAGTACTCAGGTCGGGTTCCCTACACAAAGAACCCGAGGTAGTGATTTTTGTGCCATTGATGTCTTGGTGGAGGGCTCAGGAGACAAAGGGAGGGAGGGAAGGGAGCCAGGCAGGGCAGGGAGGAGCAGAGAAAGGTGTGGTCTCGTGGGAGGTAGGTCTGGCCCTATCTCATGATCTCACAGGGAGCCTGGTTCCTCCTTGAGTCAAGATGGCTGGTCTCTGTACTCCTGTACCAGGAAGTCACTGGCCTGGGCTGGGGACAAGGAGGGACCTGTGTAGCTTCCTGGAAAGATGGCTGTCTGTTGGCCAAGGGCCACTCCTGGAGAGGGCTGTGCCGCCTGTCATCACTCACAGAGCTGGGGACAGGTGCGCTGGCTGGGAGAGGGGGTCAGGTGTCCCTACAGATAGTTGTCTCTGTTTCACAGAAGAACTTGCGTTTTCAATTTAAATAGCTTACCTGAGGCCACACGCAGTTAGAAGGTCACTTAGTCCAGGCCTGACTGACCAATGCCTGTTCTTTGAAACACAGCCCTCTGCTGGTGTCAGAGACGGTCTTTGTACCCTTCAGTTCCTCTTTTTACTCTTCTGTTCGTGCCTCTGCCATCTAGGGTTCTGGAAAGACAGAGCAAAGGACCAATGGAAGTAAAGGGAAATGGAGAAATAGACCATAGACTGAGCCTCAGGTTATTCATTTGCTCTGTTGTCCTTTTTTTTTTTTTTTTTGAGTCAAGGTCTCTGTCATTCAGACTGGAATGCAGTAGCACGATCATGACTCACCTCAGCCTCGATCTCTTGGGCTCAGGTGATCCTTCTGCCTCAGCCTCCCGAATAGATGGGACCACAAGTATGCATCACCATGCCCGGCTAATTTTTTGATTCTTTTGTTTGTTTGTTTTGAGTTGGAGTCTCACTCTGTTGCCCAGGCTAGAGTGCAGTGGCATGCTCACGGCCAACGTAGCCTTGACTTGCGGGGCTCAGGCAATCCTTCCACCTCAGTCTTCCAAGTAGCTGGAACTACAGGCATGGGCCACCACACCCAACTAATTTTTTTATTTATTGTAGAGATGAGATCTCACCATGTTGCCCAGGCTGGTCTCGAACCCCTGAACTCAGACAATCCTCTTGCCTTCGCCTCCCAAAGTGCTGGGATTACAGGCATGAGCCACCGTGCCTGATCTGCCCTACTGTTCTCGTGAGATGAAAGATGTGATGTGCCCACGACATGCTGGGCACAGGGAGCAGGCTCACCCATGGTGGCAAATTTGTCACTCTCTTCTTTATCCTCAACTCCATCACGGTGATGGTGGAACATGTGAAAATGTTCACTCCTGGGCCCGCCCGGTCCTTGAGGGAAAAACTCAGGCAGCTCGACTTACAGTGAGAATGTTCCCTCTCCTCACAGAATCTTCTGGAAGTTCAGACTTATATCAGCATCCTGCAGCAGATCATGCATACCACTCCTCAAGCCACCATCGTGACGAGTGGGATGAGGGAGGTAAGAACTGGAGTGGGAAAAAGCCAAGCCATGCTGGAGGGAAGCTGTATCTGGAGAACTTTCTTCCACCCCTGTGGGCCCAGTTCACCTTGGTAGAGACCCCGGGAAATGTATCAGGTCGGGCTGTGAGTGCAGCCACGGGAGCTTGACTCTCCCACCCCTCACTCCTTTTTTTTTTTTTTTTTTTTGAGTTGAAGTCTCCCTCTGTCACCCAGGCTGGAGTGCAGTGGCACACTCATGGCTCACCACAGCCTCGACCTCCTGGGCTTAGGGGATCTTTCTGCCTCAACATTCCAAGTAGCTGGGATGATAGTCATGCACCATGGCACTGAGCTAACTTTTCTGTAAAGATGAGGTGTCTCTGTTTGCTGAGGCTGATCTTAAACTCCTGGAATCAAGCAATCCTTCCGCCTCAGCCTCCCAAAGTGGATTACAGGTATGAGCCACTGTACCAGCCTGGAGTCTCATTTGAATTTTGCTCTTGTGTTCTGTTCTTTTTTTTTTTTTGAGACAGGATCTCACTCTGTTGCCCAGACTGGAGTGCAGTGGTACAATCATATCTCACTGCAGCCTCGAACTCCTGGGCTCAAGTGATCCTCCCGCCTCAGCTTCCCAAGTAACCAGGACTGCAGGCACATGCCACCTCTCCTAGCTCTGTTTATTTAAACATCTGAGGCTACAGACTGTGTCCCTGACCGTTGTCTTAGGCATTTCTTGAAAATTTTGAGCTGCTCTCCCTTACACACTTTATAAGCAACCGCCAAACTGTCTTCCGAGATGGTGCCCGTTGTGGTGTCTGCACCCGCAGTGTGTGAGGGTTTCTCTTGTTCCATGTCCTTGCCAGTGCTGGGTATGGACACAGGGTTTGGCTTGCTTTCACTTTCCTCATAGCCACGTTTTGTATCTCGTCCCCTTCTGGCTAAGGACGCTGAGCACCTTTTCATGTGCTTATCTGCCATCTGTGTGTCTTTTTGGTTGAAGTATCTGCTCAAATCTTTTGCTTATTTAAAAAACATTGGGACCCTTGTTTTCTTGTTCCCCTTATCAACTTGATCATAAACAAAGGGATCCTCAGACACAGTGAGTGAATATTGTTTCAAGACCGAGCTCTGCTGATGATCGTGTTTGTCTGTGGTGTGAACTCTACTGGGAAGGGACAGAGATTATTGACAACGATTTGTAAAAACTGGGGAGGTGGATGTGAAACTTATTCCTGATAAAACTCTCCAAAGTCCCTCTTGCCTCGGCCCTCTGGCCGCCCAACAGGATGGTGACGTGTTTTGTTCCTAATGTGGCTGATAGAGTTTTGTGATGCATACTGTGATACATATGAGAGTCAACTGAAAAGGATGAAAATGAAAGGAAAAATGTTACTGTGATCTTTCTCCAGGGTTGTGGTAGGCTGGTGTTGGCCAGGGGAGTGCAGACTTGGTCATTTTTATGGTCACCTGGTGATCTTGTGGTCTGTGCTCAGCATGGGTCCCTTTCTGCTCCCAGCTACCCTTTTTCTGCATCTTTGAGGCAGGGAAGTGGGGGTTGAGACCTCAGAGAAACAAGAAGGACAGAGACGGAGACTGAGAGACACATGGAGAGACAGCGACGGAGGGGGCTGGGGAGAGAGAGACACTGAGAGACACATGCCTCCATGCCCTGAGAGACTCAGTGAAGAAGGCCCCCTCTGCCGTGTGGCTTGAGTCCATCTTCTCCCTGTGGTCCGGCCACAGGACCGACCCACTTTTTTCCAGCGTGCTGGCTTGCTCTGGCTTCCTGTGTGCTGTCTTGGTACTCTGGCCACTTTGCAAGGTGTTTGTAAGCAAGAGGCTGCCGCCATGTACCGGCTTGGATGCAGGGAGTGTTTGACGTAGAGTTGGTTTCTGACTGTGCATGGCTTTGAATCAGGGTGTGGGTCAGAGTCCCTGCTCCAGGGACTCCAGTCAGGCTGCAGTGAAGCCATCGAATGTTTTTGAATAGAAATGGTGAGGCAGGGTGGAACAGGGGTGGCTGCTTGGCAGAGTGTGGGGAGGTTGAAGGCCTTGTTCCAGGCCATTCTGCTTCTGCTTTACCTGATGGGACTGATGGCACCTCCTCTGGACTGTGGTAATGTCTTAGCATAGTGGGTGGCTCAGAGCACAGACAGACGATTGTTTTCATAGACACAGAAAACAGAGCCCAAGGAGCATCTGCCTTCCAGGTTTCCCTTTTGACAGGAGGGAAGACAGAGGCTGTGAGAGTCCAAAGTCTGTTCCAGAGTCCCTAGTGGGTTCTTGACACTACCAGGTCTCAGCTCAGGTTTCCTGATGCTCTGTCTCTGTGCTTTACACTCACAAGATGGTTCTGACTTTGAAGACAAAGTGAAATGCATTGACAGTGGCTGCTGTAGCCTGTCTTAGTCTGCTTGGGTTACTGTATAATGGGACATCTTAGACCAGGCATTTACACAATAGACGTTTACTTCTCACAGTTCTGGATGTTGGAAGTCCAAGATCAAAGTGCCCGCAGAATCAATGTCTGGTGAGGACTCTCTTCCTGGCTTGCAGACTGCTGCCTTCCTGCTGTGTCTCATGTAGCAGAGAAAGAGAACATGTGTGTGCTAGAGAGCGACAGACAGAGAGAGACAGAGACAGAGACAGAGAGAGACCAGAGAGAGACAGAGACAGACACAGAGAGATAGAGAGAGACAGAGAGAGATAGAGACAGACAAAGACAGAGAGAGATGGAGAAACAGACAGAGACAGAAGACAGAGAGAGAGAGAGAGAGAGTGCGCTCTGGTGTCTCTTCCTCTTCATGTAAGGACACTAATCCCATCATGGGGCTGCCACCCTCAAGACTTCATCTAATACTAATCACTTTCCAAAGTTCTAATACCATCTTCTTGGGGGCCAGGGCATGAACACATGAAGTTAGGGGACACAGCAATCTGTCTGTACCAGGGCCCGAACCTTCTCTGCCTTCTGCCTGACTGCATTTCCTCTCCCGCGTGCGTCTGACTCTGGTCTTCTTTGTGCAGGAGAAGTTCCTGACGGAACGGGAGGTGGCCGCCCTGCGCAGTCAGCTGGAGGAGGGCCGGGAGTTGCTCTCCCACCTGCAGGCGCAGAGAGTGGAGCTGCAGGCCCAGGTACCCTCGTGTCTGCGCGGCAGAGTCCCCCACACGTCCTCCTGGGGTGTCCCAGGCACACATACCTATGTAGTGCGAGTTGTCACACTGAACACAACCGTGTACCTGGCAGAAACAGGGCCTCTGAGTGGGTGACTGAGCACCAAGGGGTTTCCCAGGATGCCCTTAAACTGGAGAGTTCTGGGAATGTGGGGACAAGGCCGTGCTCATTCCTGGTCCCCCAGAGGTGCCCTCAAGACTCCTTGGAGTCATGCCCTCCCGCCAAGGGTGAGGCTGTCCCATCATGATTCGTTTTACCCTAGTTGAAGTTGATAAGAACAAGAAGAAATGGACGCTTGTTGAGAATTTTTTATTTGAGTTGGGGACTCAGTCGCCCAGGCTGGAGTGACATCATGGCTCACCGCAACCTCGACCTCTTGGACTCAGATGATCCTTCTGCCTCAGCCTCCTGAGTAACTGGGACTTCAGGTGTGTGCCACCACACCTGGCTAATTTTTTGATTTTGTTGTAGAGACGAGGTCTCACTATGTTCCCTAGGCTGGCCTCAAACTCCTGGGCTCAAATGATCCTCCCACCTCGGCCTCCCAAAGTTCTGGGATTACAGTCATCACCCATCCTGTCCAGCCCTCTTTTGGAATCTTTGTCCTCCACTTACTCAGACCCATGCTTCCGGTTTTTCTTGTTAAGATAAGATTTGTCCTTTGGGATTTGGTGACACATCTGGAAAAAGCGTCAGTGTTTGCCTCAGGTTAGGAATGTGCTGGTGTAATATACCCATTGCTACCCTGACCCCTTTTGGGGAAAGCTTAATTTGGAAACTGAACTCAACAGAAAAGCCCAGTCTGGCCCATTTTCCTTGTTTCCTTCTGGTTTTTTTCTCTCATTACCACATGGCGGGTCATTCTGATGGGGACGATAGGGTTTAAATATGGCACCTTTATCCTCTGTGTCACCACGTTTCCCACATCAAAAAGTAAATTGACTTTCGATTTGACAAGTCCCCAGAAGGGATAGGAGAAAAAAAACTTAAAAAGCCGACTCTCCAGAAACCTGGAACATCCGGATATGATGTGTCACCTGTCTCTGTCCTGTCATTGCTCACAAAAATTGGAAAAGGAAAAAAGCGAAGCCACAGCTAGATGTGGCACTTTTCATCAATATTCAGGGTCCCCCATTGGCGCAGGGCCTCATCTCGGGACCTCAAAGTTCAGGTATCCCAGTGCCCAACACGCATGGCACATGCATTTGCTGAATATCCAAATGAGACATTCCTCAGGGATGAACCTGGTCCTGAGACCTTGAGGTGACACTATCCAGCTGGCCACCCCTTCCTGCCCTTGGTGGCTACTGGAGAACATGCTAGCTTTACTCAGATGTGTCGCCTCTCGAAGGCAGGATCTTGACCTCCTCTTCTGTGCCACCCTGACACCCCCGCCTTGGGTGGTCTGCTGAGGGTGTGGACCCCTATGTTAAGGGCAGAAAGCACCAATCCTTACAAGGAAATCTTGAAGTAGATGTCAAAATACCACCAAACCCTTTCATAGGAAACAGGCTCAAATCTGGTAACAGAATCGAGCCCTGTGTCTCATGAGACATGGTTGTTTCAGTTTTCTGTTGCTGCCTATGACTTCCCACACAGGGTCCCACTTAGAGCCACCCTGTTTTATGGGTCAGACATCCAGGAACTTCCTCTGGTTGCTCTGCTCTGGGTCTCACAAGGCTGAAATAAAAGTGTCAGCCAGCCCAGGCCCTCGTCTGGAGGCTCTTGGGAGAAGGTGCTTGCAGCCTTGTTCAGGTTGTTGGAATTCGGGTCCATGTGTCTGTAGGACGGACGACCCCTCAGGCTGGTGGTTGGGTACCTACTGCCTGTGTCCCTTGGCTTTGGGCCCTTCTATCTTCAGAGCCAGAAACAGTGTGTTGAATTCTTCTTGTGCGTCTCCTCTCTTTCTCTCTCTTTTTGAGTTTGGGGTCTCACTCTGTTGCCCAGGCTGGAGTGCCATGGTATGATCACGGCTCACTGCACCCTCGACCTCCTGGGCTCAGATCCTTCTGCCTTACCCTCCCAAGTAGCTGGGATTACAGGCACGTGCCACCATGCTTGGCTAGTTTTAAAATTTTTTTGTAGAGATGATGTCTTGCTCTGTTGCCCAGTTTGGTCTTGAACTCCTGGGCTCAAGCAATCCTCTGACCTCGGCATGACAGGTGTGAGCCACCATACCCAGCCTCATTTCTCTGACTTTCTCTTCTGCATTTCTCTGAATTCTGCTTTTAAGGGCTTGTGCCATTAGGGGTAATCTAGAATAATCTTCTTTTTAAAATGTATTTATTTAATTTTATTTTTTTTGAGTTGGAGTCTTATTCTGTCACCCAGGCTGGAGTGCAGTGGTATGCTCACGGCCACTGCAGCCTTGACCTGCTGGGCTCAGGCGATACTTCTGCCTCAGCCTTCCAAGTAGCTGAAACTATAGGAGTGTGCCACCATGCCTGACTAATTTTGTGATTTATTGTAGAGATGAGGTCTCCCCAAGTTGCCCAGGCTGGTCTTGAACCCCTGGGCTTAGGCAGACCTCTCGCCTCCGCCTCTCAAAGTGCTGGGATTATAGGCATGAGCCATCACGCCTAGCTCTTTTTTAAAATTTACAATTAATGGATTCAGAACCTTAATGGATTGCAGCATTACATCTGCAAAGTCCCTTTTGTTGTGTAGCACACAGTCATGGGTGTCACACCAAGGAGCAAAGGTCACGGGGACCAAAATTCTGCCTAATCTGCGCTAATTAAAACACAGACTTGGCTGGGCCCACCTACATGTTTCTCATTCAGTGGGTCTGGGGTGTGGCCCGGCAATATGCCTTTTTGAGTGTCCAGGTGACGCTGATCTGGTTCAGGAGAGCTGCTTAGAGAGTCATGGTGCAGGGCAGGTCCCGGGAAGGGGACAGAATTCCCTACACCTGGCTCCTCTGAGTCCAGGTTTGGGTTCTCTGTAGCCTCATTCAAAATGTTCATGGCTGATTTTTTTGGTTGGTTTTAAAAGGTTTTGTGGGTTCCCGATGGAGTGGCTAAGCTGAGAGCCCTGAGAGAGACTGGCAGCACACCTCCCAGCCAGGCCAGCACTGATTGGGGATACAGTGGAGGAGGGGGAGAGAGAGCTTCTGGTAACCCCAGGGCTACAACCTGGCTGGGCTGTGACAGCTAGCTGGCTCTGCCTGTGGTTGAAGCATCCGACGTTTCCAGAATCCCCCAAGCAGAGATCTTCAGGGTGAGGTCCCTGTCCCAGCAGCATGTCTCCTGCGACTTGTCAGAAACACAAATCCACGGCACATCCCAGGCCTACTGAACCAGAAACCCTGGGGCGGGCGTGCTCTATCCTCACAAGCTCTCCAGGTGACTCCGCGGGGCTCAGGGGCGGGAGACTGGAACGGAGCCTGAAACTGGGGCCGCTCCTTCGAGGAAGCCAAACAGACACGGAAGACCCATGGAGAAGGCGCTTCTTACAGGTAGAGGAGAAGGGGCAGGCAGTTCTGGTTCCCTAAATTGCATCAATGGACAGTTTCTGGGACAGGGAAGTGGAAAAAAAAATCACTGATGGCAAGGTGGAAACCTTCCGGGTCTTATTTCTCATGAAAGTCACTTACCACCATCTAGTGGTGAGGCTTGGTAAGACACTCAGGTTTTTTTTTTTTAAAATTATTTTTTGTTTTAAAGATGTGGGGTACAATTTGGGGTTAGGTACATAAGTGGTCATCGTGCCGGTAAAGTTTGGGTACTCTTATTGTTGTTAGGTACCTCCCTTTCCCTCCTCTGGCAGTGTCCCACTACTGCCAGTTGCTTTCTTATAGTGTTATGATAAATGTAATACTCCAATTTTTGTTTCTTTGACAAATCACTGAGACCTTGGACCCTGAAGCATCCGGGGTCCTAAGGAGATTAAGAGGGAGGGGGCTACTCTCTCCAGATGTGGCTTGCTGTCAGAACCCTGCCTGGGTCCTGCCCTCTGGTCCATGCAGAAACATAACAGGATGAAATTCAAGTTGGCACGTGACCAT